TTAGAGGAAAAGCTCTCTGTTTTTCACTACTGAGTATGTTAGCTGTGGGTTTTTCATATATAGCCTTTATTATGTTGAGGTATGTTCCCTCTAAGCCCACTTTGTTGAGAGTTTTTATCATTAATTGATGTTATACTTTGTCAAATGTTTTTTCTGTATATATTGAGATGATCATATGGTTTTTATACTTTTTCTTATAATATAATGTATCACAATGATTGATTTGCAAAGGCTGAACCACACTTTATCCCTAGAATAAATCCCACTGGATTGTGGTGAATAATTTTTTAATGTATCATTGGATTTGGTTTGCTAATATTTTGTTAAGGATTTTTGCATATATATTCACCAGAGATATTGGCCTGAAGTTTTTTGCTTTTTTTGTTCTGTTTTGTTTTGTTTTGTTTTGTTTTTTTGTAGTGTCTTTATTGGTTTGGGTATCAGGGTAATGTTAGCCTCAAAGAATGAATTTGGAAGCTTTTCTTCATCTTTTATTTTTTGGAATAGTTTGAGAAGAATAGGTTTTAACTCTTTAAATATTTGGTAGAATTCGCCTGTGAAGCCATCTGGTCCTGGACTTTTGTTTGTTGGGAGGGGTTTTTGTTTGTTTGTTTTTATGATTGAATTTCATTGCTATAATCAGTCTTTTCAAATTTTCCTGATTCAGTTTTTGAAGATTATATGTTTCTAGGAATTTATCCACTTCTTCTAAGTTGTTCAGTTTGTTGGTATATAATTTTTCATAATAGTTTCTTATATTGCCTCATTACTTCTGTCATGTTGGTTATTATTTCTCCTTGCCTCTGGCTGCTGTAATGGTAGAGTTGAGTGGTTGCAGCAGAGACCATGTGGCCTGCAAAGCTGAAATGAAAATGTTTGTTATCTGGGTCCTCACAGAACACGTTTGCTGACCTCTGGTTAAAATACCTGAATGAGACAGCTCAAGCTCTAACTTTAATACTTTCTATGTTTTTAAAGCAATTTCAGTGGACTATAAATAAGATCCAAGCTGTGATCACAAGGAGGCAATAGTATTATTAGAGAACGGGCAATATTTCTTTTCTTAAATAATGTGTTGTCATTTGCCCTGGAGAAGTTCCTGTTTCTTATTGTAGTTTGCTGTGTTCTCTCTAGTTTGTGCATTTTCTAGTTTCCATTAGACGCTCTGCATGGCTGAGCAACCATAGTTGGAGCAACCGAATGTGGACCTTAGCTCTTTTATTTTTTTTAAAGATTTTATTTATTTATTCATGAAAGATACAGAGAGAGGCAGAGACACAGGTAGAGGGAGAAGCAGGCTCCATGCAGGGAGCCTGATGTGGGACTCAATCCCGGGACTCCAGGATCATGCCCTGGGCTGAAGGCAGAAATTCAACCGCTGAGCCACCCAGGCATCCCGAACCTTAGCTCTTATAGATAATGATAATATCCTCAAGGAGTCATCACATATACTGCTGCTGCTGTTGATTTAATATAAAATGGAGATATTTAATTTTCTTAAGCTAATAAATTTACCTATTCAAATAAGCAAAAAAATCAATGCAAAGAGCAATGTTACAGAAAATCATCTTTCAAATTCCAGATTAAATGTCACCTCCTCTGTGAAGGTTTCATGATCTGCTAGATGAAATTAATATTATCCTCCTCCAACTTCTCTAGCATGCAGCTTGTACTTATATTGAATTACACTTTGAGATTGTCAAAATATCTACCTCCTCCTCTAGATGTGAACTCCTTAGTGGTTTAAACTTCATCTTAAATGCCCAATGCCTTGTACAATGCCTAGCACCTAATACGTGTTCAATAAATGTTGGTTGAGTTGAAATGTGAAAAAAAGCCAACTATTAACCTCCGCCACATCTCTTCTCTTTCTTCTGCATCATAGAGGCCGTCAGCTCTGACTCCAGTCCACATTGTTTGAGCCATTATATTCTTTTTCCCTTCTCATTTTGTTGGCTCATTTATGGATCTACATAAACTATGTGTGTGTGAAAATGTGGTTTTAACAGAGAAATTTTGAAAATATGGCTTTTCTTCTATCCCTAGAAATTCTCACTCTGTGATACTTTTCTTCTCTGGACAATATTTTACCTCGCCCCTTCCCCCGTCCCTAAATTATATTTATCTTTATGCACTCTGCCAAGCAGTGAAACAGAAGAGAGAGAAGGGGCTTTATTTTCCAATATTCCCCATCTCCCTTCCTCTCTATCGATTCAAAACACTTGGACTTGTCTTGGCAAAAACTGACTGAGGCAAGTGCTGCAGCTTCCCTGCCCTGAATTTTAAGCTTCATAATACAGGAAGCATCTCTTCTTACCTCCACTTCATTTAAAAATGGCTTTTGCTACAAAAGCATATGATTCCTAAGTTTTAAAAACAAACTTATGAAAAACTAATCATGATGAAAATGGGACCCCACAAGAATAGCTCCTGCCGTGATGCCCTCCATAGGCCATGGAGTAGCACTCTTTATTAGCAAGGAGCCCATGGCAAAGGCCAAAGAATGGGTTCCTTTCTGGCTCTCGTCTAGCATCTGTGGGTTCTTTTACCTTTTACTGGTGCTGCTGCCAGGGCTGTCTCTTAGTGTCTCAGCTTCCTAGGCACCCACCAGATGCAACTGCCAGGCTGAAAGGAAAGAAGAATTGATTTTAGTTTCCAACTTGAGAATGTCCTCACTGCTCTGACCTTGAACAGGGCTATTTCACTTTCTTGCCAATCCTCGGTGCATAGCCAGAGTTTTGCTCTCAGCACTGTTTGGATCCATTTCCCCAGGATTTTTTTTCTTCACTTTTTCTTTGTGGCCTCTCATCTTGGCTGGCCCTGTGCCTTGACCCTCTCCAAACCCAGCAGGGCCTCCTCGCCAACCAGGATAATAATGGGCACTAAGAGAGCTGCAGCACTGGCTCTTGGCAGGCTGACAGGCACTGGGGAGGACCAGTGGCTGGGAGAGAACCAGGGCTACCTGGTCTATCTCTCCTAGTCTGAGAATCTCCTTGACCCTTATAAACAAAGAGATTGGTCCTAATATCAAGGTGCTGTGACCTTTGGCAGGACCTATTTTTGCCTCCTTTTTTTCATTTATGTATAAGATGAAAATAAAACCAGGAAAGCAATCACACAGACACAATCAATGTCAGAGCAGTAGCAAGAGCTCCTTGGAAAAAAGCAGGGATTGCTTTGGGCTAGAACCATTAAAGATTTGAGAAAGTAGTGCAGGAGCACTCAAATCTGGTCAGACTTTCCACAATAAGATCCAAACTAGATTAGGTAACTTTGTAGTCAAGCAATTGTTCTTCTCTTTCCAGGGAGGGTATCTTATTTTCAGAAGTCAGGCTCATCTAGGAAATACTGCTTCTTGCAAGTACTGCTATTCTAGAACCTTCTAAGTATCCCCATGGCACATTCCTCTGCCCCTGGACCAAGCCCATCAAAAGGTGGCAGCATGACTCTCTCTGAAGCAAACTTTAGCTTTACTGCTAGGAAACAAAATGGAGATTCGTAGTTTCCTCTGCAGGCTGGAAGTCAGGAATGGAGAGACATATGATCTGGTACCAGTTATACCTCAGCTATGTGGGCAAGTTGCTTTACCTCTCTTGGTCTCGATTTCTTGTCGCTACAAAATAAATAGGCTAAATCTTTCTCTTAGTTTCCTTTTAGGCTCTGCTGTAATAATTCATTCTTAGGTGCATCAGGTAGACCACAACTCTGAAGGCCAGAGGAAAATGGCTCTCAGATGCACTGATTTCTCTTCACAAGACAAACAGAAGCTTTACAGAGGACATTGCTAAGTAGCTTTAGACATGGTGGGGGGTGGGGAGAATTATGATTAAAGAAAGTTATGCTCCAGAGTCACTGGACACTGATTCCTCTTGAGAATCTGTAGCCTTGATTCACCTTCCTCAACTGGCGTCTACAGAGACAGCAAGAATCATCTTTAAGCATCATCCCTACCCTCCACTGCCCCTCCAGTTACTACACGTGGAGTGAGCACTTCATGTGCCAAGCACTGTGAGAAATGCAAAAATTAGTAAGATTCCTTTTCAAATCGAGCTCATGATATACAGTAGGAGCAAGGGCCTAGCAAGGTAAAAACCCAAGAGTCCTGCTTGAAGAGTCATTCTGCTCCTCTTTTTCACTGCTCAGGAGGGGAATTAAGTAGAGGTACAGAAGATCTTTGACATCAGACACACCTGGATTAAAATCTAAGCAAATTAATCTCTGTCAGTTTCCTCATTCTTCAAAATGACACAATAATAAAACCTCTCTCAAAGTATTAGTGAGATAATGCATGTAAAAGTTTTTCACTGTCTTGCCACAAATAATTTTTGAGGGGTTCTATGTACTTTGGAAGATAAGTATATAATTTGGAGTGGACAAGTGGCCCTTCCCCTCATGAATTTTTTTAGTGTGGTGCAAATGCTAATTAGATACGATACAAATATATATGTTTAAAGAGTGATAAGTACTATGTATCATTTGAGTCCTTCAGGAAGCAGATGAGAAGACAGAATTAGAAGCATAAGAGATTTACTGGGGTTAATGCCTGAGAACCATTAAGAGCAGAGGAAGCAGAATTGGGCAGGAAGAGCTTCAGACTGCAATGCAGATCTGTCAAAGGCTCAGATAGTTTGAGAGGACTTAGAAGCATAGGTTGCCCATTTAAGGAATCCGACATCAGATAGAAATGATGAGGCACTAGGACCACCCACTATGTCCAGTCATTAGCTTGGAGCTGCCCGGGAAGAATGTGGCTTTGGCTAGAAAGCTGAGCCTGAAGGCACAAAAAGAAAGGGATGTGGTAACTGAGTGATGAGCACTGACGAGGGCACTTGATGGGATGAGCACTGGGTGTTATAGTATATGTTGGCAAATCAAACTTCAATGAAAAAAAGAAGGCGCTCCGCCTCCTGGAGCGGCGGTGCGGCGGCCCGCGGCCTCGCAGGGAGTCGGCCGGGCGGGGAGGGCGGCTGTGGATCGCGCTGGACGAACTAAGGTTCCAGATGGCAAATTCTATGAATGGCAGAAACCCTGGTGGTCGAGGAGGAAACCTCCGAAAAGGACGGATTTTGGGTATCATTGATGCTATTCAAGATGCAGTTGGACCTCCGAAGCAAGCAGCAGCAGATCGCAGGACGGTGGAGAAAACTTGGAAAATCATGGACAAAGTGGTCAGACTGTGCCAAAATCCCAAGCTTCAGTTGAAAAATAGCCCACCATATATACTTGATATCTTACCTGATACATATCAGCATTTACGACTTATACTGAGTAAATATGATGACAACCAGAAACTTGCCCAACTCAGAATGAGTATTTTAAAATCTACATTGATAGTCTAATGAAAAAGTCAAAGCGGGCAATAAGACTCTTTAAAGAAGGCAAGGAGAGGATGTACGACGAGCAGTCACAGGACAGACGAAATCTCACAAAACTGTCCCTTATCTTCAGTCACATGCTGGCAGAAATCAAAGCAATCTTTCCCAATGGGCAGTTCCAGGGAGATAACTTTCGTATCACGAAAGCAGATGCTGCTGAATTCTGGAGAAAGTTTTTTGGAGACAAAACTATTGTACCATGGAAAGTATTCAGACAGTGCCTTCATGAGGTTCATCAGATTAGCTCTGGCCTGGAAGCAATGGCTCTGAAATCAACAATTGATTTAACTTGTAATGATTACATTTCAGTTTTTGAATTTGATATTTTTACCAGGCTCTTTCAGCCTTGGGGCTCTATTTTACGGAATTGGAATTTCTTAGCTGTAACACATCCAGGTTACATGGCATTTCTCACATACGATGAAGTTAAAGCACGACTGTAGAAATACAGCACCAAACCTGGAAGCTACATTTTCCGGTTAAGCTGCACCAGATTGGGACAGTGGGCCATCGGCTATGTGACAGGGGATGGCAATATCTTACAGACCATACCACATAACAAGCCCTTGTTTCAAGCCCTGATTGATGGCAGCAGGGAAGGATTCTATCTTTATCCTGATGGGAGGAGTTATAATCCTGATTTAACTGGATTATGTGAACCCACACCACATGACCATATAAAAGTTACACAGGAACAATATGAATTATATTGTGAAATGGGCTCCACTTTTCAGCTCTGTAAAATTTGTGCTGAGAACGACAAAGATGTCAAGATTGAGCCCTGTGGGCATTTGATGTGCACCTCTTGCCTTACAGCATGGCAGGAATCTAGAATGTGGCTTCTGAGCTTATGGACGGCATAGATTCTAAACTGTGTTCTCCACATCTTCTTTTCAAAATAAAAATGAATATATATATAAAAATAAAAATAAAAAAAAGGCAGTCAGTCAAATGCACTTTTTGCAGCTGAATAGCAATTCTTGAAGGGAGATCCACTTGGCATACCTCCATGGGTACCCATGCTATGAAGGAAAGCTATAAGAGAGATTAATGTGGAATCTAACCTAGGCTTCCCTGACAGGATTATTCAAATGAAGATGTTTAGGACAGACAGTACGAGCTAGACCAAGAGGGACAAGCGGGAGCTGTCCAGGGTAAGAAAGAGCACCTGTGAATCACCAAGCCAGGAGAGGGCAGGACTTGTGTTAAGAGACCAAAAGTGGGGCAGCTGGGTGGCTCAGGTGGTTAAGCCACGGACTCTTGATTTTGGCTCAGGTCATGATCTTAGGGTCCTAGGATTGAGTCCCACTTTGAGCCCTGCATTGGGCTCCACGCTCAGCAGGGAGTCTGCTTGAGGAGTATCTCTCTCCCTCTCCTTCTGCCCCTCTCCCCACTCATGCACTCTCTCTTTCTCTCTCCCTCTAAAATAAAGAATTATTTTTTTTTACCAGAGAGATCAAAAGAGAACAAGACTTGAAGCTCAAGAGGTTGGAGCCAGATCTGGCAGGACCTAGGTCATGTTAAGAATTTGGTCTTTATCATAAGAGCAAAGGAAAGCTGGTAAAGGATTTTAAGAAGTATAGGGGAGGAGTCAATAACATATCAGATTTGCATTTTAAAAAATTACTGTGGCTGCTATGTTGAGGAAAGAATTAGCTGAAAAACAAGAGGAAATGCAGGGAGACCACTTAGGAGGTTCTTGCAAAATACCTTGTACATAGTAAGCCCTCAAAAAATAAGACTGATCATCATTGTTAACAATAATAAGCTTGAATGGCTTAATCTTACTTTTGCTCCCTGCATTAAATCTAGACACTTCTGCATTTGCTGTAAGCTCTCTACCAATTGGCCTAGGCTTCATCACAAATTACACTGTTTAATAACCTCATTTTATTGCTTTGTTTTAAACATTCTGTTTCATTATAAGGATCTTACTACTGCCCTAATACAACTTGTACATTTTTACTCCAAACCAGAGCTCATGTCTATCTGAATACCCTATCCCATTCTCTGCCAAAAATTATTTTCTTCTCTTCTCAAACTCTGATAAAGTCTTCCAGTGCACTCTACCTAGCCTTATAGTCCTTCCATTGCATTATCTTTCTGGCACTAATAGATCTCTCTGTGAGGCTATGGTATTATAATGTGTTCCTTTCACATTATTTTCACTTCTTTTGAACTCCTAGAAACCAAGGACTTTAGGAAATTTTAGGCACTTAGAATAAGGAAATATAGAATATCTTATCTTTCCAAGAAGTTTATCATTTAAAATTTTTCTTTTAAAAAAATGAAAGAAGAGTTACAAATGGTCAGTATAGATTTTTGAGATAGAGAACAGGAGCAAATGGGAAATAAAAACTGACAGAAAAGGAAAAACAAATGTGACATGTCAGGAAAAAATAGCTAATAATAATAATAGAAACAAAATTGTTTGTAGCACTGACCTTGTACCAGTCACAGTTCTAAGAACTTTATGTATATTATCTCATTTAATTCTCACAACAACTATATGAAGTATGATTCTTGTTCCTATTTATAAGGTCAAATGATGAAGATCACCCAGTACCCTGAGCTCTGAAGAGAAAGAAAATCTTCTTTAGCAAATAGTTATTGAGTCTTAGCTGTACCATGTGGGGTGGAGGGGAGAGGATCACTGGAAAAGCTAATGGAAGCCACATGACTTCAGAGTGAAGTTGACTCCCAGAGGTAAAGGGGCTGTGGGAAGTGCAGGGAGGAGAGGCAGATATGAAGGAAGTAGGATTTGGAAAGGAGAAGAGTTCACAAGCTATTTTAAGGAAGGTTTGCCTATCCCTTCTCCATCTCCTTAAGAAACTTTAGTGAAGATCTACATTGCCCTTTAGAATTTTCGGCCTCAGGTTTTCTTTAGTCTCTACCAAAGTGCTGAATCTGGCCTTGTTGAGAGCTAGATAGTCCAGCTCCTTCAGATTTATCAGGAGGTAAGGTCTCTAAGAACATCAAGAAGGTGTGAATTATGGAAATTAACTTTAGACAGGGAGACACCTCTTTCCCTGGATCTGTAGAGTTAGATGAAGAAATAAGGATGGGAAGGTTTTCTCTATGTCAGTGAAGGAAGATTTTGAAAGAGCAGCTTCATGGAATGACGTCAGTGCCATGTGCTAAAAATAAAAGCAGAGACTTGGAGCAGAAACATTAGCATCTCCAAGTTTATGAAAGCAGACTGAAGGCTTAGGGAGACCAGGGAATAGAGGCTACTTTGAGGCCACAATGTAAGTGGGGAGCCTAAATATCCACTGAAATGGGACTAAATCTGCCCTGTTCTGCTTTCTCTTCCCTAACATTCTACTCATTGACTTTCCCCCAAACCGAAGAAGCAGACTTCACCTCTTCATCCTCAAGTTGCTGGTGGCAGGAAGAATGAGTGAAGCTTTGCTCAAAGAAGAGCTATTATAACTAAATAATTGTAATTAGTGTGATACTGCAGGGAGAGAATCTCCATTTCTTCTGCAAAATTCAGGGCCTTATTTGCATTTGAAAAAAATCTCATTAGAGCAGTATATTAGATTATAAGATATTTTCCAGGAAAGTATTTCAGAACAGCCACAGCAGTCTCTTGAATGTGCATGCACACACACAGATGCACACTCTTAATTTTCCAATTAAAAGTACATACATACTTTTTTGAATTAAAAAGCATTCAGAAAGAAAGATAAATTGATTACTGACGTTCCTAAATTTAAAGAGAAGAAGACTTGTGGGGGTTTAAAGAGAAAAGAACAGCGGGTTTAGAGGAAAAAACATTAGGGAAAGCTATATGACAAGGTTAAGAAACTTATAGAATTAATGTTATTTAAAAATAATTATGTTAAAAATCTTTCTAAAGGAATTAGTACATTTCATCAAGTAGATGATTATAAAACTAATTCCTTGTTTCATGAATTTTAATTGGGTGGCCACAATCAGATGTATATGGAGATCCTCTCCTGGTGCTAGTATTGCAATCAGCATGTTCAATTCTTTACTGGGGTATGGTAAATCCCCTAATCCAAAGGGGTTCCATATAGCTACCATGCACCAAAAACCACCCCCAAAGGGTTTTCTTGTTTTCATGTGCTTCTTCCAACTCTTTTTACTTTTGGCTAAGCCTTTTCATATGTTAGGCTACTTAACCTTCCTTTCACTCTCTCTTATCCCTATCTTGAAACACACTTCATAGTTTTCTCTTTGTTCAACAATCACAGAAAATAAAACAAGGATTGCAAAGAACGGTAACAGTCATCTGGTCGTATTCTCTCATTTTATAGGTAAGAAAACCAGGACAAAATAGGTTAATTTTCCCAGGATTGTGCAGCTAGTTGAAGGCAAGAGTGGTGAAAGTCCTAGAACCAGGGCCCCCTCCCACAGGCTTCCTGCTGTGCTACCTGTTTTCAGTAGCTTTCCAGGGGCAGTTCTCTCATCTTCTAATTTTCCCTCCTGGGGGCCTTTGCCAGCTCATTATGGCTCCCCTATGACATGGAACTCACTATGACTCACACACACAATATGTTTATGCAAGGGCAATCTCAAATGCCCTGATTTGTTTCCTAAACACATTTTGTGGCCTTTTGGCCTACTTTGCACATTGGGCATATGTCTCACTGTAAGTAGGCTGGCCCAAATGCCTTCCTTCTACAAGGAGTCTTAAAATAGGAAAAAGGAACTCAAGAGAAAATCTTCTATCTTTTAAAAGAAAATTTAAAATAAAACAAATGCACAACAGAACACTAGAAAAGTCATGCTATCATTACTTTACCTTTCACTGTAAATAATCACTATGATATACTTTCTCCAGGCTGTCCTAGGCATCACTTTTTAATATCCTTGTATCTGATCTTCAACTTGATTTAGCTCACCTCAGTGTTGAAATAAACAGTCTACATACTGTCTTGCTCTTCCTCAGAATGGTGAAAAGACGTCCAGAGAACACCTACATCTAGAGCCTTACCCAACACATAATTGGGAGTTGAAATAATTTTTTTCTGCAATTTCATGGTGTGGGAAGTAGTGACTGCTACTTCTTAATATCCATAATTCCCTTTTAACTTACACCAATTTTATTTAAGGCAACCAAGTGCCAAACTTAAAAACTATACTTCTGCAGACATTCTTTCAGCTAGTGTAGGTCATAAGAAATGGATTTGGTGAAAAGATGTCAGTAGAAATCACAGGGTATAATATTGCAGGGAGTGGTTAACTTGTTGATAAGTGTGTGTGCCCTTCCCTCTTCCTCCTGCCTGCATTGTAGATATGATGGCTGGAGCTGCAGAAATCAACTGTGACCACAAGTCAATCTTGAAGATGGAAACTACAGGCTAGGGATGTTGGCCTCTGAAAGAATAAGACTGGGACATCAGTCACGTCTTGGTGCTACTGCACTAGCTCTGGACTACCAACTTCCCAACTTGATGTTATTTGAGAGAAAGTATGTGTCCATCTGGTTTAAGTCACATTTTCATCTGCCTTCTTTTCTTTTTCTTTCTTTCTCTCTCTTCCTTCCTTCTTTCTTCTTGTAAACGTTACAAATTGATACCAGGGCCAAACAACCCTGAAATGTTTCCAGCAAGAGTTTCTCTTTGAATGCTTTTTTGGTTGCTCTAATGGTTCTTCTAAGTCTGGATCTTTTGGTTACTTGGGATCTCCCAATCCTCCCTTTGCATCCCTACCACCCAAACTGGTGCCTTGGCAAAGCCAGACTCTCACACCTTGGACAATTTGGACTTGACTCTCTGGACTCACATGGCTGGACTCTTCCCTCTTACCTTTGCTATTTCAAGTTGCATTTCTGAAAAAGGCCTGGCTTTACCTACTCCTTCTAAACCTCACCATCCTGTCACTCCTACCCTCT